AAAAAAAAAAAAAAAAAAAGGCACACTAAAAACATACAGTCTTGTAACAGCACTAAACTAATAGAAATGAGGTATCAAAATCAATCTTTCAGAATCCTCAGGAGATTCTGAAAGAATCTGAATTTGAATCCACAGACGATTCTGATTTTGATGTCCTTGTCTTGTTCTCATTTTTACTTCTCCTTGGACAGCACTATCTCTGGCTTTTGTTTCAATTTTGCAACCCGAATGGTTTTTTTTTTGGTGAAAGATTTGAGAGTATTTTCAACTAAAGAAGAGCAAACACCAGTCAGGGAAATATATCAAAAAAAAATCTCGTATGATGCTTGTAGCAAACTAACAGTGCCCTTTTAGAGGTTCTGAACCCAACAGGGTGCAACTCAGACTAAGGTTTCCATCAGACCCTGCTCTACCAATAGATGAATTTATTTTAGTAACTGGAGAACACAGTTAGAGTAAATGCAGCATCAAATCTGAGATTTGGTTCTTTCCCTCCCCCAACAGTGACCATCAGAAAATTGTATTCATGACACCACAGCTATGGACCATTTACATTATAATATTTTATAACTCAAATGTGTTATTTATTTTAAATGATTATTATAGGTCTGAAAAAAATCCACCACGGAGGCAGCAAAAAAAAAAATACCAAAAAAGAACACAGTCCTTCCCTCTCCTCCTGTAACTAACTGATGGAAAACAATCCATCTCTCATTTGCTAGTTGTAACACTTTCACAGTGGTGCCACACTGACCTTTACCACAAAATCATGCCACACAGACACCTGTGTAACCAAAAAAAGCTGTGCTATTACAAAGAATCACTTCCCCTTGCAAAGTCAGTTTAGCACAACTTCCATACTCTTAAATAAACGCAATGAAGTGTAGGCTTAGGATACCCTGCTTCTGGTCCAGTTCCCAATACTTAATATTACTGCGACATACAGAAAATGGCAACCTCTTGATGCGTGTTCTAAGGAGAAAATCCTCCCTTCAGCTCTCGCTGTGAGTAACTCAGCCACAAACTCGACAAAATGAAGAAAAAGCTTCTCTAGCACTCCCAAACCAGAAGAGAGGAGAAACACAACACAACTTTCCTTACTGACAGGTAAAGCCTTGGGGCAGCGAGCAGCGTGTTTCCTACTCAGCAGCTGACAGGCAGCAACAGGCAACATCCAAAATTCTGCTGAACGGAAGTGAATGTTGCCCTGCCGCCCAGAAACGCTGCACTGGCAAAGCAGGTGATGGCAGGGCTGAAAACCAGCAGGTTTTAGACTAGTTTGCCACAGCACTGAATCCTATCCTCATGATTGCTATCACTTTATAAAAAGCCCTTAGAGATATAACATTGACTGTACATTTAGAAGGATTAAAAGGAGGGAGTCGAGGGACTGAAGTTTAGTTTCAAACTTTTATATTTGTTCTTTTAAAGAAAGAACGTACATTTTCAATAGCCAAAGCACTTCAGCAGGTGTCAAAGAAAATACGGGAAATTCATAGCTGCAGGGACATCCCAGAGCAAATGCTACAACTGCACATCATGGAGTACTTCACTTTGTAACGCCCATTAGGAGTACTGCAAAGCGCGGTGTCTGATACGAGCACCCAAGTACGTTATGTTAAGACCCACAATGTACTGCCTGCTATGGACAGGAGGATTTCCCATTGTCTGCGTACAGCACAACTGAGTTGGTCAAGATTTAGAGAAAACGAGCTGCAACAAACTATAACAAATCAAAACACCACATCAAAGGTATCAAACTTGCTAAATTCTAGCTGTTCAGAGTTTAGTGTGCAACACCTATGTTAAAGTTTATGTTGGCATGACAGATCCCAGACTGTTTTAAATCAAAGACCAACACCATCCTAAGTTTATCAACAAAAGCCCAAAACAAGTTCCCTGCAGTCACAACGTAAGCGAAGGAACCCCTCCTGATACACTGGCAGAGATCAGGAAGCGCTGGGCACAAATACAGCATGAGGCTTTTAAGCAGATACAAATCTCCTGTCACCGGTATCCGACAAACCCGGTCTCAGTCCCTGCTCTGCACTCTACACCCAGAGACAGAGACTGCTGCTGCAGTCAAGCATCTCCTATGATCGCTGCAGACAGGTGCCCTTACACCCCTGTGTCTCTCTGCTGTACTGGTTACACCCTGGGTATTGTGCCCTCAGCACTGTGGGAGCCTGTCACACCACCCGGGGAAGTCTGTAGTACTGGCTGCTGGGGCGCAAAGGGAGAAGGACAAGGCTCCAGTCTGGGCTGTGGTATCGCACGTCCCTGAGACCTTATGCCACAGCAGCTCTTCACCAGCAACGAGGTTCACGCTGGCCGTCAGACCTTGGCATGCTGAGCTCACGTGAGGCACTCCCTGCTAGACCACCCCGCACTCGCACGGCAAGCAGGACGCCTGACGGAGAGCAAGCTGCTGCGGCTTCCACCTCTGTCCCATCCGGTGGGAAAACGCCCAGGGCTCAGCTGTGGCATGCTCAGGGGGCTTCCACGGGGCTCCAAGTACAGGTACAAACCTGCACCAGAAAGAACCCCTCCTGCGTGATAAATCACTAATCTACTCACTCCCACAGGGTAACAGTGTGGTAGTTCTCTGCTGGTTTTGGCAACAAACAGAAATAAAGACAGAGGTGATTTTCTACATTGGATAGATAGCCAGAGGGGTATCAGTTACAAATCATACAAATTATTTTCAATTTTTCTTTAAAGAAAGCTAAGGGGGATTGCTGCTACTCGTTTCCCGAAGACAATGGGAAAGGTGGCCTAAGCTTTTTCGTCTTTTTTTTTTTTTTTTTCATTTATGCAAGCCTAACACTGAAGAGGACTAGGCTTGACTTGACATCTGGAGAAAAGGCTTCGGTAAGAGACTAGATCGGAGCTGGCTGGTCTGTTTCTTCCGTATGTGCTTCAGAAAGGAGAAATTTTTTTAAAAGTTGTAAATGGTCAGTTTGTGGTTCGCTCGGTCTTGAGCCATGCCACATATGGACTGCAGCCACGTAAACCCAGAAGACTAACTGTAACCCAAAAGAGGGAACTGCCAGAGTGCTTTAAAAAAAAAACAAGTCAGCAGCCATCACCCACATGTCCAAACCTCTTCCATCTGGCACAATATCTTTTCCCTTCTCTAAGCAGAGTGGTCGGAGTTCTGTGCTGACCTATATCCTCCTCAGTTCCAGTGAAATCCACTCGTGAAGGACACATCTTTCCAAAGAAATGCTCTTGTTCCTCCCCTGCTCTCCTGCCTCCTCCCATACATAACACACAAGTCCTCCTGTACGAAAGAGAACAGTCAGCCCCACTGTGACAGCTCCTCCTTCCTGCTTCGAAACCAGAGCACACGGTCACAGAAAGCTTTGGGAGGTTCTTCAAATAAATCACCATGGAAATTCCTTACTGTCTCATTCTCTGAGCAATTCAGCTGGCACAGGTTCTTTAAATCTCCCAAGACTCCCCGTCTACCTTCTTTACACTGAGCCTAAGTAGCTGAAGAGGAGGATATGGATGTGTGATGCTGAGGAAAACATAAACAGAAAGTACCAGCTGGACAAACTACCTGAACGGTCTGTCTGAAGTTCTCCCCCAGGGACCCTTAATGATAGTAGAATAGGAACTTTGTGAGAATATCCTTATGAGAAGAAAAGCAGCAGAGTACAAAATTGTGCAGCCAGATTCTGATATGGTCTAAGCAGACACAACTCAGCAGTTAGGAAAGCTTGGGACTTGGGGCTCAATCATACCAGGTCTGGCCTCCAGCGGCTACCCTCAAGTCTAATATCAATAGTCTCAGAAGATAAAACCACATGGGATTACTGTCTCCTCCTATCTCCACCATCTCTTTCCTCCGCTGCTCTCCCTACAGCTCTGTTCAAGCTTGCAAGCTTAAGCACACAAAAAACAATACACACACACAAACAAACAAACAAAAATGACCCCAAACACTGCTTGCTCACCCATTTCTTTAAACTCTTCGTTGGCAAGCTGCAACCATGCCACATCCACATCGTTGAGATCGTAGCGACACACGCTGTCTGCTAAGGTTCGAATGTCAACATAGCCCAGCTCTGGAGGCTCCAAACCTGATGAAACAATGTACTTCCTGGGACGTGTAAACGTGACAGCTTTTGTCTCGGACACAATCCTGAAACAGACAAACACACACATTAGGTATGCTGCGTTGTCAAGTGACTTGTGTCTAGAGAATTCAGAATGTCTTATTTTAAGAGGCTAGCAACCATCAGCCATCTTCTAAGCGTGTCTTGTACCACTGAGATGAGAACAGAAAACACTACAGTGCGCTTTCATAAAGGATTGGCAATGCTACAAAAAATTAAATGGCTTTGTCTGGAAACCCACTTCATTACCAAAAATCATTGATAAACTGAAAAGATTAGAGGACAGAGCTCTGGCTACTCTTACCTGAAATTCTTACCTGTTTCAAAGCTAGAGAAGATACACTGGTTTTATGTAGTGATGGCTGCCATATACACAGATGCTAAATTCTGTTTAAAGATTTTCTTTTCATCTGTTTAACTACAGTAGCAAGATCAAGACAATTCAAGGAAAAAAAAAAAGTGGTATTTGCTACTATATTTTAAGTTTTATTTCTTACAGTAAATTTCTTCTTGTTTGTGTGTGTGTACCTACAAGATTGCCGTCTTTGTGAAATTCTGAAGTCCTTTCCACAGAGAGACAGTAATTTACCTCAGCTTCACCTTCACTTACCCAAGCACAGATCCAAGCTCTGGCATGCTGGGTCTGCATTTCCTCTTTCACAATCACTAATGCTGCACTGGGTCAAACCTTTGAGCAAGTAATTGATCAGCTGCCACTGAACTACCTTCTCTCAGGTTTTGAGGGCTCCAGGTGGCCAACAGGCCAGCAGGAAAGTGTATTTCAGCTGCAAGCTGAATAAAATTTTGTTTGACCACAGGTATCGGTTCAGGAGACAGCAAAGTACCTACAGCACATAACTTGCTCTAGTGTAAATTCTTGGGAGGCTGCAACTCCACAAAGCCAGGAACTGGGGATGAAAATGCCCCAGCTGAAGGACAGCAGTCACTCTCCCAGCAAGCTGACAGCTCGCCTCCCACCATCAAGCTAACTCCATTGGCATAGCTGCAGCGCAGTTCTCGCAGTAGAGGATGCTCCACCTTCTCTCCGTTAACTGCACACACTGAAACCCACTCTGGATGAAACCCACTTCATGGCATACCGCTTCAGCCTCAGGGAGCGTCAGGCCACTTTGCCAAATGACTGCCTCCTGCAGCACCAGTCACAACACTAGTACTGGTGATTTTTCGTGCTCTAGTCCTACAAGGGAGGAGATGGAACTGCCCCACACAGAGCTTTCTGCTGGAGCCAGCCTAAGCTCCACAGCAGGCAGGACGTTCTCTGCTCTGTTTTTGCCCAGACCTGAGGCCCAGCACGTTGACTCTTTCTCTTGTTCAGAAAGATACCCTGATCTGCCATTACTCTACCTGTACATACAGAGATCCCAGTAAAGCCTCTATTTCAGCCTCCCATACAGCCTACATCTTCCCCAATCTAGCTTGTCTCACATGACAATCTGAGACACGGTGAGTTAAGAGTCAAACGCTGAATTTGGGGCTTCTGAGGTGCAGAAGGAGGCCTTTGGATGAATCGGAACCCAAATGGCTTTGAAGTGCTACCTGAACTGTTCCTGGCCATACTAGACGGTATTAACACATCAAAGACTACTACATCTCACACGGAATTTATTTTAAACTGGACACAGTCTCTGAATCCTCTGTGCCATAAATCCCTTCCTGAGCACCTCTCCATGTGAGACTTAAAACCTCTGGGTAGCATCCTGCACATGCTGCCTAAACACCACTGTGGTTGCACAGAAGAAATAAGCAAAGGTGGTTTGGCTTCGAAACAAACCATCTACAGCTCTTCAGTTTTGTGACAGAAAGAATGCAAAAGCAGTAACACTTATTACAAACCAAAAAGCGCATTCAACTGAATCATCGGGATACACTTAACGCTGAATCACCACACAGACTCACTCCTTTCCCCACCCTTCTGGATCCACGCTCAATGCCCTGACCAGTTGTTACACAAGGGCAAGGTCTCTGGTTCTCCAGCATCTTTATCTTGTTTGCACCAGCTACCTGTACTGTATTTTCCTTCTGTTCTACACAAGCTACTATTTGACTACTGCTGATTCAATTTACGATCACGTCTCCCTCCCTTCCCAAAGTTACGTACAGAACAGTTGCAGCGCTCCAGCCCAACTGCAGCAGGACACTCAAAGTGCTTTGTCAGGGGCCGACAGGATAGTAATTAGGTTATCAGAGGGCCACTCTGATCAGCAGGTGCTCACCAGCAGGACCATACAAGACAGCTCAGCACGTGAAAAAAAAAAGAGTGGTGCCTCCTGCCTCCATCTACAACTCTAAAGGGGACAAGGCAAGAGGGCCCTCAATTTCTCAGACTTGGAGCAACTCCCATGCTGGCCGTTCGCACAAAATAACTCCCTCCTAAGTGAGTACCTGGACCCGATACAGCCACCCAACCATCTCCCCAGAAGTGATCCAAGGAGGGGAAGACCTGGAAAGGTCTTCCTCTTCTAAAGCCCACAGGTCTCCTGCAGGACTGGGAGACGCCTTCAGAAAGCAGCGAGGAGAAAACGATGTGTGCACACATGTACATGTGGGCATTAACGCAGGGACAGGGTGAGGTCAGCATGGGACAGGCCACGGGTACTACAGGGAGAGGCTACGCTCCCACGCCCTGAACTGCAGAGCGGAGGACGAGGAAGCGCTGAGTTTTCCTCAGAGCTCCAGATCCAATCCTTCAGGAGGAGGAGGAAGAGGGAAAGGATTTACCTGACATGGAGGCATGTTCCCCACTGCACAGACTTGGTGGGGCAGTGCAGCGGTCTGCAGGTTGCTGCACAAGACACAGTTAAGCACTAACAAACATCCCCCTAGTCTCCCTACTCCAAGGTTAAAGCTGGCAGGTACAGACCTGACAGAGGCAGCGTAGCGTCGCCCAGACCTTTAGTCGTGTATAGGGAGACTGGGCTGTTCTGGCCCCACCAGCGCTGGTAGGTCATTTGCTAATGCCGTTTGGGCCAGACTGGACTTACTCAAACAGATATAGTGTGATTAAATGGCAATAATTCTCACTTTCCTCACTTTCTCCAAGTCCAATCCCACCTAAAAATGAAACAGATACATTGCTGCAGTATGCTCCTGCCCTTACAAGTGTACTGTCTAGTTTGACATAGAAAACAACTTCTGAATGTAACAGACAAGGGAAGGAAAATAAGGCTTTCTTGGATAAGAGCTGGAAAATCTCACATTAATGTATTTAGTTACGTACACATCTGGGCGGTTCTTAAAACAGCTGAAATTTTGTACAACAAAAACACTTCTAAGTGAGTAAGCAAAACGAGACCAGAAAACAGCATAAAACCAGAACAAACGCTGTATTCTTTCAACCCTTTAAATCTGGCTTGTCGAACTGATTCCTTGAAAGGAACCTCTGGCTTGGAACTAATAACAAGAAGCGTCAGACAAGGACTCTTCCGGCAATGCTGAGTGAGGTCAAGTCTGGGCTTAAAAATGGAAGCTATTTTTGAGGCCCTGTCATCACGCTCCTTCCTAACATAATGCCAGAAGTGATTCTCTGACGTTCATATTTCTACACATAGGCAGAACAGGCCTGATTCTTGACATCTCTGACCATTCAAAAAGCGGAGGAAGGTTGCTCTTCATCTCTGAGAAACAAGTCCTTTCTAGCTAGATACCGCAGAATAAAGCTCAAGAAGCCAAGGCAACGTAGACGTAAGCCGCTAGCACAAATGTATGTATATTTGTTTACATTCCTCCAAACTATACCTGGCTACGGGTTCTGGGATGGTCCCTGGGCTAACTGGCACCTGAACTCCCTTTTCCCACTCCTGCCTCCAGGGGTCTGCCAGCACATAGTATTCATCAGGGTTCAGCTGGAAGGAGTCATGTAACTTCATGGCAGTGATCAGGTCCGTTCTGAACACCTGCAAAGAGAGTGACCAAGAGAGAAAAATAGAGACACTGACATTTGATATTTACACTCTATGATTCACAGCTCCAGGGTAACCATGGAGCACAGCGCATAACAAGGTCACTGTATCAACAGTGAACTAACCCAGCCTACTGCAGGACAGAAGTTTAGCTTCATGGCAGGGAAAGGGGTGGCAGAAGGTGCAAATACCAATACAATGACTTGCAGCTAACTCCTCTACAAGTCCTGATGCTTCCCCCACACTGGAGACAAGATGCTGAATGGTGCTACCCACTTTCACCTCCCTCTTGGCTGCAATAAAAGCTGCAAGAGCTCAGAGTCTTAAAACAGCAATGTAAGGAAGACTCAAGTCTTGCTCCACGTGAGCACCCTTACCAATGATCCAGCTGGCTTCAGAAAGAGCAGGACCAAGCCTCAAGGCTTTTTTAATTATTGGAGCTCTGACTAATCCAAAAGCATTCTAGAAATTCCCCGTGGTAGAAATCAAGGCGTGACTCTACCATGACCGGCCGCAAGAGGAAATTCTAAGGAGATGACTCTTTGTGCAAGTATTTTAAAATAATAACCCACAAGATCAAGTAAAGTAAGCTCCAAACTGGAAGTCTGGTGGCAGTTCCCCGCTCAGCACAGGTGCTTCTTATTCAATCAGCTACAGACACCTCTGCACCACAGCCACAATTTTCCTTTGCCTTTGCAAAGGCATCAGCTCTAAAACCAGCAGGACGTCTGGCAACTTTGGGGTCAATAGTCGTAAACAAGCAGCGATGCTGTCTTCAGCAAGCCATAGAATGAAACGAAAACAGATTCACTCTTGCAGAGGGCATGCTGTGCTGCTGTTGCGGCAGCTTCAGCCTGGCTTGCCACTGCCTGTCAGCGCTGCAGAAAGCAAAGGGTGATATCATAGGCATAGGAACTACAAGCCTGTTCTTGTCTACACATCTGCCAGCTCTCCCCACCCGCTCTCCCTGTAAGGCAAAGCTGCTGTAGAGGACAGCAACAGCACTCAGCGCTCCTCTTCTCCACAACTCCTTGCAAATATTAACTGCTCAGTGCCACGTTCAAATGAAAGGATTAAAAAGCAACCAGGTGACAGAAAACGAACACCATCAGGGCAAGAAGAAGAAAAGTCACATCGTAAGAAAAGTTCCCCTGCAGACTGCCCAGTTTATGGGCGGCAGAGTCAGCATCTATCCAGCTCGGCGTCGCACCGTCACAAAGGAAAAGCAGGTTATCAGGAAAGCGCTCCCAGATTCTCCCAAAAGCTGCTACTGGGACAAAGTGACACAACCTCCTGCTCCCCTGCCCTGCTCCAAACCAACATCCATACTGGCTGTTTTAGGCTGCTTCGAGACCACTGCTGCATATGGTTGAGGAAGAACCAGATCTATATAGCAGGCTAACTAGGCAGGCCTCCCAAAGACAGCAATTTGTCATGCACCATTAATGCACCTGAAATTTCAATAGATTATCTATGATTTGGGGGAAGTATTTTAGAGCAACAACAGATCTGATGCTTAATTATACTTCTGAGATTATTTCAATGTGCAATTTGTCTTATCGAACAGCACATCTTGAAGCCTCTCCTCCCTCCCAACACGCTCCCCACTTCTGTCCCAGTACGTTTCTGTTTCAACACTGGGTTTGTCATAAAAAGTAGCATCAAATCATGACTTCTTTCTTACATTAACACCTGTCTTGACATTTTCAAAAAATAGCTACCCTCAAAAAAATAAAGAGTAAGAGCACGGTATGAAGGAAAGGGTGAGTACAGGTCATGAAATATAATGAAAATGTTTTAAACAATCCAATTACAAGTCTCGTGAGGCTGCAATCAAGAAGTGAAAAACAATCCACAAAGTAAACTGGCTCACAAAACACACAAGCACAGCTGGCCAGGGGGATTCTGCACTTCTAAGTGATTTGAGTTAAAGCAGTCAAATGTCAAATGAAAACAAAACTTAAAATATAAAATAGGATGCAAGACTTGCTCAATCTGAGAGTCACAGTAACTCAAGCTCTCAGATAAACTTGTCATGAAGCTCTCACAAAAGAGGAGAAGCTAACACACACCTGACAGCCAAGGAACTCCTTCCCAAGCCGGTGGCCCTGTGACACTATTCTTTCTGCTCCAATTTCTGATGCAATCAGACTGCCTGGAGCAAAGAGGAGCTTACAGAACTGCTGGCTCTCTGAAGCTCAAAGCACTTCAAAGCGAAGGGGTGAAATCCTGGCCACGCTAAAGTCAATGGGAACTTTGCCATCAACTTCAATGAAGCCAGGATTTCACCCAGGGAGTTTAGCAAGTATGGCTTTTCTGCCAGCACGCTTTTCAGCGGAATAGTGCGCTGTGGCAAGCAGGGACAATGGGGTGGCGGGGAATGACTCTGGAACAGACCTAGACGGAAGTACAGCAAAAGTCCATCCAGGCTGAGAGGACAAACGGAGAGAACAGCACAAAACTGTGAAGAAATAGTGCCAACAAATGCAAGGTAGAGGAGAAAACAGGAAGACACAAAGGCAGACAACAGCAAGATTCGTAATTATCTCAGATTATTTCTTGATAGCCTTTCACGGGGTAGATTTCAAAATGGGTCTAGGGGGTACTTCTAAGAGAGATACAAAAGATATTAAGGAAAGCAAGCCTATCACCAGCAAGAATAAATTCACCATAGGTTTGCGCATTCACAAGAACAATCTTTTTTAAGCGCCAAAAACCAAAAAAATATTGAAAACCACCAGTAAACTCTCCAGTTGAGGTTCTGACAGACTGAGCAACGAATGGGATTCCTCCCATGAAAACTCTTCTCTAGGACTTAAGGTATATTGTCATCAGGGAGATTACCAAAGCATGTTTCTTCTCAGCACCAACCACTCACTAAGGCATCAAAAGCACATGTACTGGCTAAGTCCATAAACCCAAGAAATTCTGCCTCCCAAAGCTAATGCTTTCTTTGCAGCCAGCACAGAATCTCAAGTCTAACGTTTGCCTGAAGATACAAAGATTCAGCACGAATGTCTCCAAAGAACTGGATGGCATTCATGTGTTACTAACAGCTGATCCACCCTGGGAAGTCCAAAATGATTTACATCTCCCTTGGTATGTTTTTCCCAAAGCACTACGTAAGACAGAACTATCAAGAAGCAAATTTCTGATTTGACATTAGCAAAGATCACCTACTGAGGCCCAGTAACAGCTACAAAATGAATGCACCTAACGTAAGTTTTCACTCTTCACAAATCAAGCTACAAATAAACCCCAACACCCAAAATACTGGAAGACAGACTCCAGAGCTATGTTGGATGTGTGTCGGATTAAGCCAAAAATTCACAGCTAGAAACTGCTGGTGCTGGCAGTGGCTGTGTCAACAGCTGAACTCCCTGATCTCTAAGGCCAGAAAAAAGGGGGGGCCAGGGTAGGTGCCAGCTAAGATGGAGCGAAAAGAAAATAAATTGTAATTCAGAAGAAATAGATCTATTACCAGGACATGTACGTGCTTTTTATTGGACAGATGCAACAAAATGCAAATCTAATTGCAGAAATACCTCAGAGGGTTTTCGATCTTCATGTCTGGAACACGAAGTTCTCCGACGTCGAGATCTTGAATGCTGGGACCAGGTAGACAAACCTGGAACACAGAAATGATCATTTGAAGACACTGCTGCCATCTATCAACAAAGGTCTTTCCCTCCCAGTACACCCAAGCAAGCTAATTGACTTCAGTGGGCCTATACAAGTAAGGCAAGTCAGTCAAGCTTTTATGACAAACCTCAGAAAGGCTCTTTCAAAATGAACTAGGAAAAAAAAAAGTTGCTCAGTCACTTCTGTGACCTCTTTTCTGTTTTTGTTTTGTTTATAATTCTCTATTAATATACGTATTGGCTGTGCTACACTTACCACCTTTCCACCTAGCACTTGGGCAAAGCTACCTCCTAACATCCTTCTCTCTGAGCAGCAATAATCCACTTTCTACAGATTAGGAGGTTCGCTGATAGTCTGAGATGTAAACTTTGAAGCTAACATACCTAGCATCCTAAGTATCTCTGGTGGCTGCCCAATTTCCACCAGATCAAGCCTTTTAAAAATGAAGTAGAATGCTGTGCTCACCTAGTACAGCTCCAAAAACAAGACCTGCTGTCTCTTCTCCTAAGGAAACTTCTCAGCTCGGTTGTTTTTGTCCATAGAATTATTCTTTCATTACATTCCAAACAAATTATATTTTTTTGCCTTGACACCTTTTGACAGAGTCTCTGTCCGCTTTTAGAAGTATTTTAACAGGAGGAAAGCAAAAAAGGAAAAGAAGGAAACTACACTCCTTTGACAAGGTAGTGCTTTGACACCAGAACGTAATCCACAGTTACACCTGCTTAGATTACACCTGTGCAAATCAGCTCAGTTTAATTCAGTAAGGCTTACAGGTACGGCAGGTATTTTCCAATGGCAACTACATAACAGTAACAAACAAACAAACAAGAGCCAACAAATAATCGTTATGGGGTGAAGAGACGAGGACTTGCAACAATGACTACAGGACAGAGGAGCGAGAAATCACATATTGAACTCCGAAGGTTTAACAGAGATTCGGCAACTCTGGGAGTTAACCGAGGACAAGTAAAACAGAACTAGGCAAAGGCCTTCCCATACTGCTCTTTTTTTTTGCTGCCTGTGCAAGCAGATGCTAAGAGCAAGACGTATAAGGCTACAATTCGCTGGAGCAACATCTCCTCACATCATCCAGCAGAAATCTCTCGGAGGTCAGCAAGTCTAACAGGGTTGCCTGTTCAAAACCAGACCGTTTGCACGGTGTGGGACAGTTCCCATTTCAAAGTAAAGTGACTGCATATGACTTTCAAATGAAAGTCACCGCTGAGTAACCAGTCATTTGAAGAATTCATTAGGTTGTAGTTCTGAGTGTCTTCTCTCTTCAGTTAGTAATACACTGAGGAATATGCCCCATTAAAAACCACTCTTTAACAGAGCAATGAACGTTACGCACAACATGCCTAACAGTCCCAAGCTGGAGCAAGGTATGCAGCAACGAGCTAGAAATCTTTTCTTCTAAGGTAAGAATATAGAAAAGATCATTTTGAAGTAATATTAGTGTTTTAGCATGAAAGCTGGTGTTTTTGAAAGTTTAAAAAAAAAAAAAAAAGGGGGTCACGGGCACTTTCCCTAAGCCGCTTCATTTTAGAATTCTAATTTTCTAAGAAAAAAACCCACAGAACGTGACTGACTACAGTCTATTAGCCTGTGTGAAAAGCAGCCAGATCCTAAGAGCAAACTAATATCTCATTTAAATCTTCTCTTGAAAATTAAAGAAAAACACAAGCAGCATCACAAATTCCTGTTTCTGAGGCACCCATCAACCTATGCCCAAACTCCACCTAAGAAACACTTAAGAGGGGAATAAATGAAATCAACTGAAAAAGTATCAGAGACATACAACTAGAATTCATAACAAGAAAAGCACAGCACATTTTTCTTGTAATCTAGCAATTTATGTATTATCATTTTAACATTCAGATGGGTGTTATTTCTTTAATCAACAGACTCGCTATAAGACATACATCACATACAGACCCACGCAGATTAGTGTTCAGTGTTTTGGGGTTCTCACACCTTTTTCCATCTGCAAGACATTAATGTCTGACCTACTATCTGCTACTGAGGTATTCAGCTAATTAGACACTGGCAATTCAGACACTTGGAAATCTCTCATTCATTGCGGATCCAACTGTTCTGCGCACACATGCTCAGGCTTGGGGAGGGGGCTGCGTACCAGGTGGGGATGCAGAACGACAAGCTGTGCTGGCAAAGAGCTGTTTGATTCGGAAGTTTCTGCGAGAGCAGAGCTGGTGACTTCGGAGGCTTTAATACAGTCGCTCTAAGTAATGCATGCGTCTGGCAAAATTAGGAGCAGTAGCAGTATGGTGTACTTCTGGATTTTTATCTCTATGCTTTAATTCAACTCTGGTGACAACTTATCACAAACAGAAGGATGACAGTAAGCAAGCATACAGGCTTTTTTTACGGTGCTTTTTTTTTCCCCAAAGCCGGCATTAAAAAATGGATTTCCGGGTCTCTCTCATGCCACAGAGAGGCTACAAATGTGCAGAGGAAAATAACCCTTACCACATCTTCCGTCTCCATTTCTATGCTCTTATCTGCAGATGCTGCATGTCAACACACTGTCTTAAACACACAGTTCTGATTACACACACAGTACAGGTACGTTAAGGCTAGGCCACTGGATTAGTTAACCCCTTCATGCAATGTGAAGAGTAAAATATTACCACTTCCCTAAACTGCAGAATCCACAGATTCTACACTGCTTTTTTTAAGGGCTATATCAAATCTCACTACATAACATTGTCACATGGAAGGGACAACTCAAACACAGCCAGCCTTCTTCAGAATATGAGAGTATTTTTTCCATGCCAAATTACTTCCTACAATGAAGGACAGAAGAAAGAGTTCCTTGCATAGTTCTGTAATAGCTGTTTCCTTGCACATAAAACTGGTGAATGCACAGTGAAAATGTTTTTATAAGTTATTAAAGAGACTGTTGTATTTTTCTGGGTAACGTAACGAGGCTGTACATAATACTATGAGAAAAAGGTGGAAGAATTTCTCATGGGACTGAGATTTTACTGCCCTCTAAGATCTGTAACTGTAGCTAACAGGTGACCTTTGGCAAGGGCTTCACTTCAGTAGGGAAAACATTTACACATTGAATAAACAAAGCCCTGCTATAAAGCACACATTCACAGATTGAAATAACCACCACTTAAGACACAAAAGTGCAAGAAATTAAAGGAGCCAACCAAATGACACTAGAATATCCAGCCAATGGCGACATTAAGTTTAACTACTTATGTAAGCTCAAAGAGCAAACTCAACTCTACTCTCACTAAACTCAATAGCAAAATATCACTGCTTTCAACAGTGCCAAGGCCAGGTCACTAAATTATCCAAAGTTTATTTCATTAATAGGCAATCCACCCACTTAAAGTATAACAACAGAAGCGTAGGAGGAAAATGAAGGATGTGATTCATCTTTAAAGTATCATTTGCACATTTTGGTACTAAATCCAGAGGAGGGACCTCACTGAAAGAAGTTCACAGGCTATTACAGCTACTTCAGTGAGAAATGATCCGATTTTTATGTCTAACTACACGAAGGAAGAACCATTCATAGGGCATATGGAAGAAACAATCTGCTGCGGTCAACACAAATATAGGATTTGAAACAGTTCTTCTGTGTTATAAAAACACATGACCCTAATAGAGTATTTTAGAAAGATTCCAGATTCTTTTCAGCAAAATTATCCCCTTGTATTAAGTATCCAAAACGACTATGTTCGCCACCAGTTTTCTGAAAAACAGCCTTAATCCAACCCAGATGAGGAGGGTCAGCAAGACGAGAAAAACCACTAATGATCAAGACAGAGTTAAACAGTTTTGGTAAATAACAAAAAAGATAACAAAAGTCTGAATTACTGGGATTTTGAAGATATAAAACATTCATAAAACAACATTATACCTCATGGGGAAAATTAGTTCCACAGCATATGGAAGATTAATGAGATGTTAGAGAACACATACTTACCAAAAACCATGTGAGTAACAGCAAATATGAAAAATACAGCGTTTTTTGGCATGGAGCTAAAAAAACCAACAACAAAAAGCCACCAAAAAAAAAAACAACACACCATCACTACACATCCAAAACATACAACCCTATCATCATTTGAAATCCAATATAAAAGGTGCCTTATTAAGTGACTACCCTTTTACATGATCACATAAGGTAAGGATGAATATAGATGGCAGCACTGCTCCAGGAGGGCACACCAGCACCATCCTGATTCTTCTATGTAAGATCCTTTTGGAAGGTCGAGGTGTTCATATATGTCTCTGACCCTTTTTTTCAAAAATAGGCATAAAATACATGAAAAATACCTCACTGAGAGCAAAGGGAGAAGAATCAGACCTTTACTACAGGTCTCAGTTCTCCCATCACATTTATCCACTTAAAAGCTGAAAAAAAAAAAAAAAAACCCAAACTAGGCTTGATTCATAACAACTTTGTAATCTCTTGTCAGAGGCAAAGCTCTAACACCCTCCTGGTGCTGGAATGAAGACCTGCTAAGTCCCAAGCAGGAAAACGTTCTGTTCCCCTAGACTGCTATACAAACCTTACGCTGTAAATACTGTGTTTTTATACTGTCACTAAAAGGTATATATAATATATATACCTCCTGATAATAAAAGAAAACAGTCAAGGACCGTGAACTCTTCTTCCGTATTTGTGAAAATCATAAGCTTCCCAAAAGGAAGAGATAGAATCAATTCTAACTGTATCAATTTGTTAAATGATCTGTCAAAAACACGTTTTGATTCAAAGAAGGACCATCTGAAACAGAAAATTCCTTGGGACCAATAAAGCAATGCAAGCCCTCGGGGCGTTCTATACTAACAACCGATATACTACTACTCAGCGTGAGCAGAAAAGGCTCAGCTATCTTGTATCATGCACAAGGCTGTTGTAAAGCCACTCTGCAAGGCACCCAGCTGTGTCCCTGGAGAGCTACCTGCTGCTACAGCCTCTGAACGCTTCAAGGCCTC